AAGTATACCGTGTTGCCCAAATGCGAGACCGAGACGAGTTTTGGTCTTGCAAACTCAGTCTTGGTCATGGTGTTGGTCTTGCGCACCAGTTTCCCAACAGTCTTGCTTTTACTTATTAGCTTATTACTGAAGAGATATTGCTGTATTTTTTTATATAGAACTTTACTAAGCCCAAATGAAAAATTAGAGGAGTTAAATACAAATGTATTTTGGTTATACCAATTCTTTACATATAGTAACTAAGATTGTCAAATATTAGTAACAATTTTGCCTTAATGTTTATTCAAAAAATCGTTTTTTTTTTTACCAGTCCTGGTCTTGGTCTTGCAACAGTTAGGCGGACTTGGTCTTGGTCTTGGCAAAGTGCAAGAACAAGACCGGTTTTGAGCAACACTAGCATACATACATATACACATATAGATATACTAAAATGGAATGTATAAATCTTTATTTCTTTATCTTTTAATTCTTATTCTATCTATTTTGATTGGTGTTCATCAATTAGAGGAACTATATCTTTCATTTATTGTTTTTCTTCCTATCTTTTTTATTTCTTTATTATTATTTTTTTAAAGCTAAGTAGCAATTATTTTGATTCATTTCTTATTAGTATTGTATGTAGTTCTAAATATTTTCATTGATTGACTTTGCATATACTACTTGTATAGTTAAATTTTATTAATTTTTATTATTTAATGTAATAGTTCTGGCCAGAAGAAATTCTTTTTTTTTTCTGTATCATTGTGTCATTCTTAAGAGACTTCGTCTCAAAATAAATTTATTTTTCTATTTCTATTTCTATGCTATAACTTTATATTACACATTCATGATTAGGGTAAAATATATTGACGAAAAAATGCCTCGAAAAATAAATGATTTTTCTCATTTGGATTCGTGATGAAATGGATATTACTCCTTAGTTTTTCTCCCTTCTTTTTTTTCGAAGGATCACCGTCAGACAACTTGACATATCGCTCTGATAAAAACCACGACTCGATGAGCTCAAAAGTGAAAATCTTGATATATTTCAACATCGGTTTCAGGATCAGTAAGCAGCAATCTCCGCGGTATCTATTTTCCACACGACCGATGAAAAAATATTAATCCTTTCTTTTTTTCTTCGAGTTATGTCGGGACGGGCCTCGAACCCGAACAGATTTATATCAGATAAGGCTTAATAGCGCCTTAAGCCCGAAGCCGAGCCTAGGAAAGGACCTATCCGGTATAATCGACGCATTCTCGACGACAGCTCTCTGGATAAAATATTTCCAAGTATCAGACGAACTTCTCCGTTTTATATTCCCTGCCCGACCCAAAGCTATATTATCTGATTTATTCCCTGAATCACTAAACTAATTGTAGGGAATATTTATTCAAATATAAGGTCTGACCTTTTATTCAGTCCTTATTTGGAACGAGGGACATGGTGTAGTTGGCACTTCATAATCTTATGGTAAATAGGAACTTAGGGACTGTGATATATAGGTAAGGGTTTGTGTATTGAATTTGTGATGGTTTCAAACGAAATGAATTTGGGATTACGAACAGATGGTCTTTTTAATAGGGCAGTTCCACAGGAAGTCGACTTTTAAGAAAGTATTAAGTAAAAAAATAAACAATCAATAAAATATTTTTTAATGCTAATACATAAAATACAAACAATGTATGAATTAAACACAATAATGTTTATTATTTTTTTAACAAATATATTTTTAAAAATCATTTTATTGAGAAATAATACATTTTTTCACACTTTAGTGCACTAAGTATTAGAACTGAGTGAGGCACATTCATACCATATATCCACTACAATAAAACAAAATTAACAAAGGCAAAACTTTATTAAATTAAGTAAAATACCGAAATTTGTAGAAAAAAAATATAAAGATAAAAAACAAACATATACACATTCATACTTAATTAAAATATTTACAATCAGCAGAGCTCCAAGTCACCTCTGTAGATTGAATGTTCATTTATATATGTATGTATGTATCTATATGTGTGTGTATGTATGTATATATGTGTGTGTATATATATATATATATATATATATATTATATATATATATATATATATATATATATATGATATGTATGTGTATGTATGTATATATATATGTGTATGTGTGTGTATGTATATATATGTGCGTGTATTTATATATGTGTATATTTTTTTTGTTTATTTCTTAGTGGTTACATACTACTTTTTAAATAATGTATATTATGTTAGAATTTTTATAAGTTAGTTTTTGGCCAGATTGGTATTTTATTTTGTATTAATTCATCTTTGTTATTCTAAGGGGACTTAGTCCCAGAATAAAGTTCTATTTTCTATTCTATTCTATTCTACAATGCATGTCTCTCAGCTAGTATAATAAATGTAAGTATACATTTAGAAAAGAACAAATATGAAAAACATGTATTCCTAAAAGTATTATTTTTCCTTTAAATAGATTTTATTTTTTTCATTAAAACATTATTTTATGTAGACAGTTTCTTTCGTTTTCTTCTAGATTAATTATCGTTACTAAAAATCAATAAATAAGCAAGGTCTCTAACCCCCCCCCAAAAAAAAAATAAATAAATAAAATCTGGATCAGCTACTGAGCAAATGTCAAGCAAAATATATTAAAAATGTATTCCTTACAGAACTACTGTTCCTGTTAACAACAATTACAATACATTCTTATTTATTTTTTTTAAGGGCCACTTAAATAATATCTCATGTCATTTTTTATTTTTCTTACAGAGTAATTAAAGTAATAAAAAAAAGTTAAATCCTTAATCAGCTACTGATGTAAGTTTTTAATTTTTAGTATTAAACATTTTCAGGCATTACATCAAATATTTAGATTTTCAATGAAATGCTGCTTCCGTACGTACTTAGTAGTAATGTAAGTAACCCATAGATAATTAAATGTGTAATAAATACATAAAGTATGTAAATAGCATTGTCTATGTTTTCATTAAGAGAAATAAATATAAAAAGGTGGCAGCCGAAATATCCATTTTCGTTTTGGGAGGAGAGACATGAAATCCCTCCTTCCCTATCTCTCTTTTAGCAGTTATCTTTCTCTCTTCCTTCCAGTTCGTGCCTCTTTTATTTTTTTTATTTTCATCTTTTTTTGGTTTTATCGCCTCCCTAGTGTTTCTTTTTTTTCTAATTCAGCCTTTCTCTTCACTGTCTTCGGGAGCCCGGCATTAAACTCACTTTTTATTGGCCTTCTAGATTATTATTTCTTCTGTTTTTTGATATAATTTCATTAATGACAAAACGACAAAACTGACTTTTAAAAAAGTGTTTGTAAAGATTAACGAAAAGTGCAAAAAGCCTTTTTTTGTTTTTTTTATTTTGCATAATTCATGTATTTTGTAAAAGCGAACAATAAGCTTTTATTTATTCATATTTTTTATTATAACTTTTATTTTACTATTTGAATATTAAAAATCTGGGATATACATATTACAGCTTTCAATATTGATATAAGTTTAAATAAAAAATAACACTAAATCACTATTTTAATATTTGAATTACGGTTATGGCTCTAGATTTTAATCAGTTTTCAGGGTTTGATTTGGAAATGAATAAATTTTATATACACATATAATTGGATATATTATTTCCGTTTTCAAATCATAGCTGATTTAGTTCATGTTAAGTAATTTCTTAGTAGTGCAATGAAATATCAACTATCATTTGCAATTTGTATTTAAAAATAACATGTTCAGTTAAAATACTTTTTCAAGCAACATATACTCGTATAATCCTTGAACGTCTTGAAAGCAACCATTAATATTGGCTTATTAAAGATTTAGATAATTATCATATCTATATGTTTGTATATTATTCCGCAAAGTTTTATTTTATTAGTTGGTCAGTTCGGCATATCTTCGTTTCTTCTTTATTGAATCTTATTATTGTGCTATCATTTTGAATATAACCTTCAAAATGGTAGCACAATCACCTGAAGACAACCTTCTCCTTCAGGTATGAAAAATAAACACATCCCACTGGAATTTGAGAAAGGAAGAAGAAGGAGAAATAGTCCGTGGTACAGACCCCTTTTTATCAACTTAATAACATCCACCTGAAACTTCGTAAATAGTTTCATCTCATCGTAACCTACAACTATTTTATTTACGAAAACGCTTGGAATTGGGGCGTTTTCAATCTGGAGGAGGGCAAACTGTGTCTACTTAATGAAGTACTAAAAAACTCGTAAATATTCATTTGCTTTCTACTTTGATCGTAAGATAATTTGATCTCAAAATCTATAAAAAGGTGGCCTACAAAAATATTGGTCCGTTTGTCCTATATAACCTCATTATTTTGAAACTTTGATGGTGTAGGTCACGTCAAACGGCTCAATATTTTTGAAGACCACCTTATTTCCCGATTTCGTGATTCAAATTATCTTACGATCCAATTAGAATGCAAATGAGTATTTACGAGTTTTTAATACCTAATTACAATAGAGGAGAAGAGTTTTCGTAAATAAAATAGTTGTAGGTTACGATGAGATGAAACTATTTACGAAGTTTCGAAGGCGGATGTTAATAATTCAATAAAAAGTGGTCTGTACCACGGACTAAAACTTTATTTGGGCACAGCTCGAAAAGTGTAAAATTTAATTTTGATTATACCCATGATAATTTGGAAAAATTCTAAATCCCATATAAAATGAAAAAAAAAATCACTGAAGTTCAACACGTGTTTCTAATGTTCGTAGCCTCAAATCGGTTCTAACAATTAGGGACGTCGCTAAGAAAAAATAAGAACTATCTTTATCCACTTATATGACCTTCCTAACGCGTTTAATGATACATTTTTTTTTGGTCTATTTTGCGCTATTGGTCTGATAATATTTTGTTATTACTTTGTTTTTACTCTTATGCGACTAATGAGAGTAAAACGAATGCCTTCATCTCATAATACATTGCATTTATTCATTTATTTTATTTTTATTTGGTCAGTGACAATTAAGTATTTTTACAGGCCTAATAATAATTATATATTATTTACTCATAAAGCCGATTCAACTTGTATTTTCTTGGATACATATTCTGGCCTTCCTCTTTTCCTTGTTAGGCCGTTGGTATGTTGAGCTCCTTGCGTATTCACGAGCATTATCGTTTCCTTATCATCAGTGTCCATCCTTTCTGCCGCCCCTTCAATATTCATGAACCTTAAACAACAGCCATTAAAATGCTATTAGTGTTATGAAAAATAGTCGGCCCACACAGCTACTTGCCGATTATTTAGTCATATTGCTTTATAACTAACTACCTCTGATGTATAGTTAAATAAAAACGAGAGTTTAAATGAATTAGGATTAATAAAAAAAATGGTGCTACATTTAGAAGAATACATTCTTATCTTGTTTTACTTATAAGATAGTCTTCACATCAATGAAAACTTCAAGCTAAATATTCTACGTGACGGAAAGAATATTTTCTTGCCAAATAACCTTAACATCGTGTTAGTAGTCTTGATATATTTAAACTAAAAACAGTTGACATTAGAATTTTTTTGTATTTATTTATACATAGATTTAACATCACTCACTACTATATTCTAAATAATTTAACATACCTTAAATTGAATGATTTTCGTTTGAATAATGCCATACCTACCTGTACTTGCGGATCCAGGATTTAATTTTGGGGGAACTTCAGCCCGAAAGATTTTTTTTGTTTTCATATATACAACAATAATTAATTTGGAAAAAATAAAGGAAAAAAAATAACTACGTATATGAAATGGTGTTTAAGTGATTCTTGAAGTCCTATTAAATATAATTACACGTATAATAATACTTTAAGAGATAGTTTTTAATATTTTTTTCTATAAAACATGGTTATATTTTACAGTTTTGGGAGAGCCCCCTCCCCTCCCCCCGTAGATCCGCCTGTGCATACTTATTGAATGAATGAATAATAAATTTTCTAAAAATTCTCTGGAATATAAACCATTTCCTTTAATCGAACCCAGGTAAGTTGGGGTATTAGGTAATTCGGTTTTAAAGTATTTAGATTAAATATAGATATAGATAAATAGTGATGTTATACTATGTATAAATAAGTACACATTTACTTGATGTATTTATATTGTAATACAGTTGTAAATATCTTCAATAAATAATTAAAAAAAAAAAAGATTAAATATCAACTTTAAGTTCTATACCTAACAGGTGACCCACTGACTGTATAGCCCCTGGTAATTGTATTTCTATTGTTTTGATTTTTCATATACAATTATCTATTGCTGTTTTTATTTGTTAATAATCGGAAGATTATATTATTTTGATATTTTAGTTTTTAAAAATAATTTCATGTTTTTTTTTTATTTATTTATTTATTTTAATTGAGAAATATTACAATCTGTCTCAGTATTTCATATTATTTTTTAATCTTATTCTTATTTTAAAAAAATACATTTTGCCTCAATTAAGAGCATTGAATATTTGAGATTTATGAGACTCATTCATACCAATCATATAGGATAACAAAAAATATAGAAAAATTATAACAAAAGAAAAGAAAAAGAAAGCTTAGTAAAACAGAAGAAGTAAAACATGAAACAACATTAAATAAAAACAATGTAACGTTTTAAAGATTAGTAACTATATAATTTTATTTCTAATTTTTCGTATTCACATACCATTTTAATTATTTCATTTTTCAAAAATAAATTGAAATTAATTTTACTAAATTTGGAATCTTTCTTCCAATTTATTTGTAATTTCAGCATTTTTTTTTTTTTTAGGAATGTAGATTTCGGCTGTATCATTGTATATTTGGAGATTTTTTTTTTTCTGTATATTATATGTTTTATTTTGTTTTATTGAAAATATTGCAATCTGTCTCAAAGGACATTTATAATAGTGTTCAAAGATCACATTCACACTCTATGTACAATAATAATAGTATATATAAAATGAATAAGTATAAAATAATCTAAAAATAAATAAAAAGAACACATACATACGAATATACACTTATGTTTTATTAGTGAGTATTTTGCTACATATATGACAATCCGTGGTATAGACAATACACATACAATACATATATGACAATTAGTGGTATAGCCCTTCTTATCAAATTATTGACATTTGCGTCATACTAATCTTCTCTGTATCGTTCCAATTTTAGTATATGTAGCGAGTACGTAAAACTTCGTGAATGGCATCAACGTAATCGTAACTTGCAACTTTTCTGTTTACGAAAATTCTCTGAACTGGATATCAGCATACATTGTCTATTTGATAAGGTACTAAAAACTCACAAACATCCATTTGTTTTCCTCTAGAATAGTAAAATAGTTTGATCACAATATCGAGAATAAAGTTAGCATACAAAGATATCGGGTCGTTTATCGTGACCTCTACCCCCAAAATATGTCAAAATGTCAAAATAACGATGTTACATAGGCGTAACGGCCCATTATTTTTGTGGGCCGCCATTTTTTCGACTTAGTGATCAAATTATCTAACGATTCAAGTGGAAAGCAAATGGATATTTATGAGTTTTAATACCTAATTAAATTAATTCATTCAGTAAGAAAGATGAAGCCATTTACAAAGTTTTAGGCGGATGTTAATAATTTGAAAAATGAGCCTGTACCACAGACTATAATATTTTTGGGATGAAGATACGAAGAAGGAAATGTCTATCTTATAAAAAAGAACTAAATGATTTTGAGTTTAGAATTTATACCTTAAGCAGGAGTAGAATTGTTGTTCCGCCTTTGGGAAAATAATGCTGCTTCTTCCAGCATTTCCTACTACACAAAATTAGTTATTGCTTTATAGTTAAAAACAAATTTGAGAAAATTTTAATAATTATGTGTACTTAATTGAGCTATTTTTATATTTACAAAATTGTTTTAAATATGAGCAGAATTTTACTTAAATTGTGTCGTTCCTCAAACATTGTCTTATCGTCAAGAGTTTAATCTGCATGTGCGTAATTCCACCATCGACCTTAACTATTTCTAATCAATTTTTAATTATTTCTTTAGAAAATTATAAATTACTTACAAGAAACAATATTACCTTTTCATCTTTTAAAATTACTAATATTATAGTTTTACTTTTTTTCATTTAGACGTCTATAGTATTCGATCCAACAAACTGATGTTGGGTCAAGGCTTTCTCAGTAGCCGATAGTAGTACTTTTTACTTTTGCTATTTAATCCCGAATACCAAGGTCCGTGTCTCTAGTAGAATTGATATTCTTTGTCTTCAAACACTTCTACTTTTATTTTAGTAAATATTCAATCTAAATCTATCCGGACTTGATGTCTCGCGGCACGTGGTAATAAAGATAATCATAAAACAGATCTAATAGTTCTCTGATTTTATTGTATTTTTTTTTGACGCGGTAGTGCAGGTAATTATTTTTAAAAAATCATAATATTACGCTTGTGAAACTGAGTGTGGAATAAGTTGAAAAAAAAACAACTCAATTTCTTGAAAAAGTAAATTTTAAAAAAATCTAAAGTTATGACGAGAGGTTCACATTCCTAGACCGCGCCTAGTCTTGGCTCCCTATTAGTTGATATCTCATCTGAACGTGTGTTTCATGATGCTTCATATTTTGATTAAGAATAGTTCCTAAAACTTTCCAGTAATTCCAACTGCTCTCTGTCTTGACATCCTGCCCCCAAAATACTTCGACAAGTGGAGTTACTATGGATAGATTTTATTCTAGCAAGAAGAAATCGCGGACATTGTAGCAAAATAATTTTTTTTTTTTTTTTTTTTTGTTTATTTATATGATATTTACAACTGTATACAAAAAATACATCTGGTAAATTCCCACATGGATATAAAGACATGAAACACATGTTGAGAAACTACCCATTGGTAGCACTCTAATAATATGTCTATATTAGGAGATCACGTGGCCATCTTCTTTTCAGATGCCTCGGAGGATTATCAGGAATTGAATAGAAAGCCAGGTTAGAAACAAGAGGGTTGGGATGGTTATGAAGTTTATTATGGAAGGACAGATATCTGGATTGGGCCAAATCTGATACATAAGGAACATTAAGGTCATTATGGATGATTTTATTTGTAACAAAGTAAGGAGCGTTGAGGATTTTACGAAGGATTTTGGATTGTAAGGATTGGATGCGAGATGAATTTGAAGGTTTGGTGGAGCCCCATAGCTCAACTCCGTAAGTCCAAATAGCCCTAATTATAGTCATGTAAATTAGTCTTTTATAGTTAATTGGAAGGTTAGAGCGTTTGTCTAGTAAGTGTTGAAGTAGTCGGAAACGTCGAGCTGTTTCTTGTCGTTTCAGTCTGGTATGATGATTCCAAGTTAGACGTTTGTCCAGATGGAGTCCTAGGTAACGGATTTGTTCAACAGGAATAAGTGAGATGTTGTTAAAGGATACTGAAAGACAGGAAGTCATTGGTTTACGAAATAAAATTTAAGTGGTAAAACGTTAATAAGATTGTAATTGCAAATTTTCAATTAAAAAAAAAAATGTCGTATTTTGATAAATAATTGCAATAGCAGCGCTTCGGTGGTGTGGTGTGGACTGGTGGTGAGGATTATGTCCACTGTAGTTCCACGCATACTAGAAGTCAACGAGTCTTTTAGCTCTAATTTATAAAAACTAATATAGTACATTTCAAATTAAATATTTTTATTGGAAGATGAAAGGGTGAAACTAAACACGGAATGATAATTCTTGAATAGAAGTTTTGAACCTGGAAACACTGTTCTAAGCTAGAAGTAAAAATATGTCTTATAATTTATTGTTATAACCTAATCTTCTACAAAGAATATAAACTGAAAACTCATGAAAGTGTTCAGTTTGAAGCAAACAGATGAAATTCGTCGAAGTTCACAACCTACTTATCAGCTTCACTTTTAAGGCACGGTTAGACATTTCACAAACTATGGGAAAAAAACAATTATAGATCTTAACTAACAACGAGATTAGCGGAAAGCCATTTTTTTTTTAATTTCCCTGTTATCGGCAGTAGATGGAAAACATAAAAAACAATAAACAAAAAGACATCCATAGAGAAACAACCATTTAGATATTTGTTTTACCCATAGTTTGTAAAACGTCCAAACGCTCCTCAATGCTGCTTCACTTTCAATATTATGTTTCCTTTGTTTCGAAGTGTTCTGAAATTCTTCCATTATTCATCGAACTCGGAGGACCTCACTAGCTGGGACTTGACTAAGCTGGGTGTTAGGATGCATCTCCTGCAGACGATCTGGATCGAGAGTGGACGAGACGATGTCCCACCCAGATAGCCCCGGTAGAAGGACTTGGGGGAACGGAAGAAAGAATATAAGAAGACTAAATAAAACAGTTGATAAGAATTAATTCCAAGACAGCGGAGGGAGCTGTTTACCGATTCGCGAAGAGTAGCATCCACTCATACATATTGATGAATGCCATCGCAGGCTGGACATGGGCCAACGCTGCAGCCCTCGCTGCATTGCCACGCGGTCGCACCTCACATCCTAGTAAACAATCTCATAAAATGCTGCACCGAGGAATAAAAGCAAAACCCAACCCGTCTTGTTTTCATTCTTCTCAATTTGTCCTTTTGCGGCAAACCGGGCGCCTGTCTTAGGGATAGAGAAATGGAGAACCGGCACGTGGAAGTGAATCAGCCCCGTTCTTGCCACTTACAATTGGATCACTACTGTGCTTTGTAAATAACTATTAGCTGTTAATTTCCTCTGCTTGATGGCTGAATTAAACAGATCCGGATATTATTAATCAAACAGTAGCCTTGATAAAAACAATAATTCTAATAATTAATTTGTTTTCCTTCTTATATAAATAATTTAAACAGATTTTTCTTTTTCTTATTGTTTTTCTTTTTTAATAATTGACTAAAAATTTAACAAATGCATGCATATACATTTAACCACTGGCGGATCCAGGATTTAATTTTGGGTGGGACTTCAGCCCGAAACCTTTTTTTTCATAAAAATAACCATAATTACTTTGCAAAAACAGAAAGAAACTAACTACCTATATGAAATGGTGTTTATGTTATTCCTTAAGTACTATTAAATGTAATTAAACGAAAAATAATACTTTAAGAGGTATTTTTAAAAAACATTTTCCCATAAAACATGGTTATATTTTTCCATTTTGGGGGGGGGGGGCTTCAGCCCGAAAGCCCCCCCCCCGTAGATCCGCCCGTGCATTTAACCCTTGGTACAGGTCCATTTTTATCAAATTATAGACATCCGTCAAAAACTTCGTGAATGGCTTCATTTTATTGTAGCTTACAATTTTTTTATCTACGAAAATCAATAAAAAATAGGTTGTTTTTTCAATAAATTAATTAATTTAATTATGTACAAAAAATCTAATTTCCTTTCCACTTGAATCACAAGATAATTTGATGAGAAAAAAAATTAGATAACCTATAAAAATATTGGGCCGTTTGACCTATATAACCTCTTTATTTTTGTAGATCACATATATTCTCGATTTTTCGATCAAATAACCTTATTAGATAACCTATTTAAGTGGAAAACAACGGGATGTTCATGAATTTTTAGAGCCTAATTAAATAGACAATGTGTCTCTATCTTCAGATTGAAAACGTCCCGATTCCATGAGTTTTCGTAAATAAAAAGGTTGTAGGTATGATGAGATGAAGTTATTTACGAAGTTTTAGGCTGATGTTAATAATTTGATGAAAAGGTGTCTGTACCACCGACTAATAATTAATTAATATGTATGATATAGTTGATCCATTATCAACAAGGTTAAAAAATATTGAAGTGCTTACAGCAAAGAAAGCACGAGTTCGATTTTATACATCACTATTGGATCCACGAGGAAGGAGTGAAGTCATTACCCAAAAATTGAAAAATATGGAAATATAGAAAAATACCCTTTAATTCAGTCTCAAGTTTATTTTATCGTTAAAAGGACCATACAATGCATATAATCATATTCATATATTTCTAATCTGTATCAATAATCCTTATACTTCATATAGAAATCGTTAAGCTAATTATTTTAATACTAGATAGTAATAATACAAAAAAGATAAATGTAAACTGTAAGAAGTTCATGGATAGGCAAAGAAGAAATAGCTTTTAAGGTGGTAACGAACACCAACGTCTAACGAAGTACCCCAATACGTCAAAAAATCATTGGTTTAAAAAAAAAGTGTGGTTTTCAGAAATGATAGATTTGGTAATAATTAATATTTAATTGTATGGATATTCACGCCTAAAAAATTAAAAATACTTAATGAAATATGAATGAATGCCTCTGTTATCACTGGTCTAGTACTCGAGTCGGAATAACAAAACTAAAAAAAAAACCTTATAATTTAATAAATTAATAAGTAAAATGAATAATTAAACTAGTAGTAGGGTTGGCACTACAACCAGGGGGTGGGTCTTGGCCTCCTCTAAAAGCTTCCACCATCCAGCTCGATCCAATGCTGCTGTCTTCCAGTACGGTGTTCCTAGCAGTAGTCTGGAGTCAGCTGCCAGCCAATCCATCCATGGATTCAACATTTTTCAAGTGCTCTGTAAATTTTCGAGCGATAGATGTACGCAATCTTGAAATCTATATCCTCATGGATAAACGATAGTCCTCAGGGAAAAAATCTAGTCCACCCTGGATTTCCCTACTTCTAATGCCTATAATTTCTGCAATCAAGTCTTTATCACTCTTTATGCAGATTGGGCAAATTATACTTTCTTTCCACTCCGTTGCCATCTTTTCATCATCCCAAATTTGGACCATCAAATTATCAAGGTCATCATAAAAGTTTCCACCTCTGTATTTAAAGAACTCTACTGGAAGCCATCCAAGTCCAGACTTTTGTTATTTTTCATTCTGTGGATAACTTCCATAACTTCTTCGAAATCCGGAAGGGGTTCATTCTCTTCCTCTATGTTCTCGTTTCGATTTTCGTGTCTGGCAACTTCTGCATCTTCCACTGTTGAGTCATTTAGTATAGCTTCAAAGTGACGCGAGGACGAGGTGGCCGAACGGACTGAAGTGTGTGCACAGCACCGCCGTTGCCCGGCAACCTCATCTATGAAACAATGGATTTAAAATAGTCACGAGTTCGCATCCCGATGCCGGGAGAGTCTTTTAAATCCCCGTCCACACCCCCGGACCCGGGAAAACCCCGTATAGCCTTAAAGGCGAGAATTTCTTCTTTTTTTCGTAAGCAGCAAGCCATCCTCGCTCTTGTATGGGATAGAAGTTGGTTTGAAATCGGCTCTTTCCTGATTGACCCTAATATAAAAAAGTCTGCTGTCATTTACTTTTCGTAGTTCCTCGATTTCGTTCACTTTCCTCCCTTCTCAGGTTTTCTTCTTTTTTCTATGGAGTTTTTCCTCTACTTGCCGCAAATTCCAATATTCTTCCGATGCTAGTCGGGCATATCTCTTGTGCGCCACCGATTCGTAAGCTCGGATTTTTGCATCTGTCGCTGCCTGGCATTCTGAATCAAACCACGCATCTCTATAATTCGTTCCCTAACTCTTCTTCTGCAGCCTTCGTTACAACCTCCTTCAGAATCCTCCATTCACCTTCTAATTCTGGATTGTTGTCCATTTTTTTTCATTTTGTTCTTCATCAGATGGCTGTACTGTTCTTCATATCTTTGGCGAGTTTCAGGGTCCTTCAACTTGCTTGCGTTTATTTTTTTACTTGCCTTGTTCCTTACAATATGGCTATAGGATATTCTAGCTCGTATTCTGGATATTACTAATGGTCTGAATCCATGTTAGGGCCATGAAAGGTTCTGCTGCTAATGAGGTTGGATTTGTGGCGAGACGGTATGAGGAGATGGTCAATTTGGTTTTGTTCAATTGGTATGTTTTACCATCCGGAGAGTTACGAGTGTTTTTGTGGATCCTTTTACCAGGGAATAAGATACTCCCAATCACCAAATCCCTCGAGAAGGCAAAGTTGATTAACCTCTTTCCATTCTCGTTGCTCTCTTCATGGAGGCTCCATTTCCCAATCACAGGGCGGTATATTTCTTCCAGATCAACCTTGGAATTAAAGATTCTAAGCATGATTTTTACATCACTTTGAGGGCACCTGTCGAGCTCTCCAATGCATCGTAGAAATCTTCCTTTTCCTCATGAGATTCTTATGTAGGAGCATTAACATGGCAATTAATCAGGCTGATATTATAGAAGAGTCCCTTGAGACTTAGTCTACAGAGCTTTGGACTTAAGGCAGCATCATTCTTCCTCTTACAATAAACCCGGTTCCGATCATCGGGTTTTAACTATGGCAGCTGTAATAAACTGTGTGATACCTTTTCTCCAAAATTCATGTTCCAGTCTAACGAATTTCGGATTGCAGGTAGGTCAATCCTATAATTTTCAATTTCTTTGAGGAGATCTTGAAGTCCTCCGGGTATTTTAAGATGTGCCATTGTCCAATTATTATGTCCATATGACGGTTCCTGTGTCTTTTACCATTCATCGATCCAGCGTTTTATCCTTGAGATTTCGGGATAAGAGTGGTTTAAGTGGAGGATGATATCAACCCATACCCTGCTCCCGAGTCAGGTAGAGGGACTGCCTCCTCAGTGCATCCTGACGCACTCCCCCGTCCGGGGCGGTTACCTATAGGAGGTGACTCTAAGGTGTGTATTGTTAGTGACCTTAGAGTATAATGTGGGGGTGAGTGTAGTGTGCTTTAATCTGTGTACTGTGTGCGGGTCAGTGTATAGTTTCTCCAACCTAGAGAGCCAGTGGCTATCTGCGGTACTTTGACCGGGCGATGGGGCCGCCACCTTCCATAGATAAAGTTGGAATTTAAAAGTAACGAGAAGCTATTAAATATAGTAAATTAGACGGGGTTTTGACAGTCGGAGAGCAAAAATATGAGATTAATGTTTACTATTATGTTGTTAAATTAAATTGTAAATATTATGTTGTACCGAATATATTTTTTACTTTTGCTGCCCTATGAATGAAAATACCTATTTATATTCAGAGTAGGTATACACAAGACGATCTTTGGTGATGCGTAAAGCACCTTTTTTTCCTTAATCGCTCGAGTTGGCTCATTATTAGAAATAAATAGATATATATATATATATATATATATATATATATATATATATATGTACAAATGTTTGTACATACAAAAATATGTTTTGTAGGTAATTAAGAACTCCTTTCAAATTGTTATTGGCAATAACGGATCCAGGATTAATTTTTGAGGGGCTTCAGGCTCAAAGCTTTTTATTTTATATGTACAAGGATAATTACTTGTGGAGAAACAGAAAGAAACTAACAACCTATATGGAATGGTGTATAAGTGATTCTTAAAATCTATTAAAAATTTAATAATACTAATAACGTTAATAAATAATCAATTGAGGATTAATTTCTTTTTTTCGTTGGCTCTACTCTGTAGGATCATTGCCAATACCTTTTATTTACACTCTGTTATAGAAATTTATTCTTTTTAAAAAGTCAATTTTTTTTACAGCTATTTCACTGTCATAAAAAATTTTTTTTAGACCTTATGGTCCAACTTTTACCTAGCAGTTTAAAATATAGGACAGTCTTGTATAATGTGTTTCACTGTTCTTTGGATATTGCAGCTCTCGCATGTTAGAGGATGAAGTCCTCTTAGTAGGTGGGCGTCCGAGAACTCACAATATCCAATTCTTAGTCTGCAGAGAGCTGTCTCTTCTTTCCAGGAGGACCGATAGGAGGTTTCCCATTTTGAACAGTGGGTCT